CCTGCTGAAAACTTGGTGAAGTTTAAACACTTTTTACAAAGTGTTATTTCTTATGCTACTTTCGCGAGTGTCCTATGAAGTTGGGGGAAGGCATTCCATATGTACATAGCCTACTTGACCAACCTGATAGTTCAACCTCTCAGAAACAGCCAAATCAAAGGCCATTTCTGCATCTTTACAAAAGATACACACATTTCAATGGCTGACATAAAATTTTCATCCTCAAGACAGCTCTTAAAATAATCATTAACATTAAGTCAAACTAGGAAAAACGTATAATAACTCTTTATAGTTTAGAATCACGACATATAACAATAATAATTCCAGTTAGTGGGGAAAATAGTATGTTTGACCATGGGACTCTCATTAAAAAAAGGAAGAACTATTTAACGAAGTATGTTTTTGAAAACACAAAATTACATGCTCATTTAGAAATCTTGAAACATCCTAATCATAGGTAAAAAAATTTTTTTTAAATCAATACTAATAATCCATTTTTGTATTCAAAGTTGTTCACTGTGCATTATAAATAATTTTCTATTGATTAAATGTATGATCAGTTATCTCATTATAACCATGATACTATTTTTGTATCACTGTTATCAAAATTAGCTAGTAAATGTTATGCACTGAGATGAATAGAGCACAGAAAACATGGAGTCCTACAAGTACAAGAAAGGGTGAATTTGTGTTGTCCCTTACTATAATGGAATGACTGCCTTTCTTTCAAAAGAGGGAGCTAACAAGTGAGCATGGGAAATGTAGTCTAAGACACTAAAAAGCTTTATGGACATTTCATGCTCCATTTGGCCCATAATATTCGATTAATAGAATTCTTTTCTTTTTTCTTTCCAATAGTCCTCTTTAGACTTTCATTCAAAAGGATATTAGTATACTCAGAAAAATATTACATGACTGGGCTGTTAGTAAGACCGCATGTAAAAGTATACTAAAATCTCAGAACTACATTATTTCAGAGTCTTCACCTGGTCAAACACTAGTTTCTACAGTCACACACCACATTCGCTTTTTGGAGAGACAATTCACTGGCTAATGAAGGACTACTGAAAAGACATTATATGTTTTGCCCAGCATCTCCAAAGCTTATTTGACCATGCGATCCTCACTCAAAAAAATAAAGAACTGGTTAGCAAAATGTTTTTGAAAACATACAGCTTCACATACTCAATTTAAAATACTGGAACATCTTAATTATAAGTAAAAGATACTTATAAAAACTTATCATCTTTTGTTTTCAAAATTGTTTGCTGTGCATTCTAAATAATTTTGTTTTTAATCTGGAAGAAAGAGCTAAACTTCATAATGTTCTAAGAACAACTTCTTGGCTATGTATATTTACCGGATGCTATCTACGACTTATCTAATTGTCAGAGTGATTGTTGCTTACTGTTCTGGTTACTTGGGAAAACAAGGGTGCTGACAAATTAAAGACAAACTAATTATTACATCATGGGGGTCACAGGAATATGAACGGTTATGTTTTTTTCCTCAAAATTACAAGTTGAGAGAGAGGGTTCAATATCTACTATATTTCATCAAAGATAAAGGTAAACTTCAGTCTTTTTAAAAAAATACTATTTTTCAAGATTTCCTTGGTGAAATTATAAAGAAAGATAAGCACTTAAGTAAGCAAGCAAGATTAAAACGACTTCATCATTAGGTTTTCTGAATATAATCAGAATATTAAAGACAAAGGAGTTAGTATTATCACTGTGACAATCAGATTCTGCCTACAGGTAAAGAACAAATTTGGTTCAAAGTTGCTTGCCCTTTTTCAAACATTATGGTCAACTAAAACGCTGTCAATTTGAGACTGCTCTATCTGCTTTTTCTCCTGATGGTGTTTTCAGTTACCTACATGAAAGTAAAATCTTTACAACTAATTATGAGCACAATAATCAATTACTGTGCCTTTTCCCAGTTATTAGGATTGTGTATCTCTAGGAATTTGCAGTCTAAAGTCCAACGGCTTAAGACATGTACATTTTGCTTAGGTTGTGGCACGGCAACACGTGACTCTAAACAGAATTACCCACTCAACTTTCAGACTTTCAACTTCCATTGTACTGCCACCTACTTGTGTTAATTTAATACAATTGTTTTTCTTTTCTCAGAAATGCTTTGAAAGAGGCAATCATTTCACATAATTCCAAAAGTAATTGCTGACCTATATTATAATAAACCCAGAGCATCAAACATGCTTCTATTCGTCCTCAAGAAAAAGCAGTTAACATTTGATCTGAAATCGAAGTGCCATGTCAGGTTTTATATTAACTGTCCATTTTCTACTGGTTTTTCATAAACACAGATTAAGTTTCATTAACACACATACTTCTCTCAAGCTTTTCTGTCTCTCTGCAGAAGTAATCTGAACACGGAATCTTCAAGGTATTTTTCTTCTTGTGGTATTTTATCTAACTGTTAAGTTACATTTACCTACATTTATTCTTTTTGTAAATTCCTTAAAGGTTGGACTATATCATATTCATTATAAACAGACTGCCTAATAAAATAGTTTATACATATAAAATACATAATACACAGTGGGTGTGTATAAGTTAATTTATATCTGAGAAAGAAATGAAATATATTGAAGTAATAATGATTAAGCCTTAAGAACTCAGAAAAAATATTCTCACCACTCGCTTCCTGGTTTGAGCCTCTGCTTTCTGAGAAGGAAAATTGAGAAGGCTGTTGGAAAGTAGCTCTGATGTCATCTAGAGTCTTCAGATTCCCCGGTCCTCCTTCAGTCAAGTGTGCATCTTAAGGAGAGAAAAAAGATCGTTTGGCACCTATTCTAAATTAAAATATGGAATATCTTCTGTGAATCCTAAACTTACCCCAGTACCTTCTCTTGCTCAAGTTCAATAAAGAACTAGTTATTTGACAAAGAATATAAATTGTTTATGATAACTAACTCATTAAAGAAAGCCATCTATCCTTGGTTTCCAGATAAGATCGGGTTGTCAGGAAAGTCATGAGGCATTTTTACATAAAAAACACAGTAATATGTCATGACTTTCCCAATGACCTAATACATTTACTTAACTGGTAAAAGTAGATGCTTCGACAAAATAAACTGGCAAAAATGTTTATAGTTGCTAGGGTGTGCTTATGAACCTCTATTAATTTTAAATTTCTTAAGTGCTCTGGCAATTTCATTCAGTTAAGTAACATTCCAAGAATTCTAAACACTCCTAAAGGTGTATTTCCAAAAAAAAGAAGAAAAACAAAAAGGAAGAACAACTAGAGTTGTTCTCATATAAGACATTTTCAAAATAAAACTACGTAGTACAAGTCAGGTAATAAACACCAACTGTCTTATGACCATGCAAGCAAAGACTTATATACCAATGTACAAACCAGATTTATTCTTAACAGCCAAAAACACAAATGCTCATCAATAGATGAATGAATTATAATATATCCATACAATATAACTGCATCCATACAATGTAATTTTATTACTCAGTAACAGTAGAATCCGGTGTTGATATATATAGTAATAAACAGGGATGAATTTCAAAATAATAATTCTGAGTGCAAGAACTCAAACAAAAAGAAACCTACTGTGGGTGATATTATTTGAATAAAATTATAGAAGATGCAAATTGATCTACTGTGAAGAAAACAGATCAGTGGGGTTACCTGGGGAAGGAGGCTGGAGAAGGGAGGGATTGGAAACCAGTGTTATCTTAATAGTGGTGGTGGTTTTAAGGGTTTACACATATATCAACATTTCTCAAACAGCACAATTTAAATATGCGCAAGTTTATTATACATCAATTACATCTAAGTAAGTCTGGGAAAAAAAAAGCAAATGTCTTGAAATGCTATTAAGTATTTTGATGCAGCAATTTCAGGCCTAGGGAAAAGTTTTTCTCCCAAAGAAAGACAAAAACAAAAACAAACCACAAAGGATGTGTACAAATATTTAGCCATAAGGATATTTACTATATATATTACTTTCTGTTTTTTTAAGTTATTTTTGTTGTTGTTGTTGTAGAGAGCATGTGCTTTGGGGAGAGACTGAGAATGAGAAAGTGAGAAGTCACTTACCCCCTTCCCCCCCCAGGAAGGGGTGGCCACATCTCAATTTCTTCTCCTCCTTTCTCCTCTCAGGATTTTGGGCACACATTTACACCCTCCAGCATGAGTTTCAAGCCACCAGGGGCAGGCCTTGAACCACAGTTGGCCATGTGGGAGTCTAGTGCCTCAACCACCATACCATACCACCACCTCAACCACCACCTGGCCCCTATATATATTATTTTTAATAGAAAAATTAATTGAAATAGCCATTAAGTAACACATTTTTTAAAAAACTGGAACAATTGGGACCAGCAGTTAGCATAATGGCTATGTTGCTGGACTCCCACGTGGTCTACTGTGCGCGGTTCGCGTCCCAGACCCGGTGGCTTAAAACTCACGCCGGGCGTGTGTGCATGCATGCCCAAAATCCCGAGAGGAGAATGGAGGAGAAGGGATTGCGGCATGGCCATCCCCCCTGGGGGGTGATTTCTCACTTTCTGTCTCTCTGTCTCTGTCTGTCTGGCAAGTACATTCGCCCTATAGCAAAAACCTCTCAAAAAAAAAAAAAATACTGGAACAAGTTAAATAAATAACTTATGGTATATTACAGCATAATATGACTAGCCATTAAAATAGGAATTTTAATTAATCCCCACCTTCAGAGATATACCCAAGGCAATACCTTCTTGCTTCTTGGCAACATTGCTTATCAAACCTGTGTTTTAGATCTCAATAGTTCAATTTTTGGCCATATTTCTTTCCTTTTTGAAAAAAAAAAAAAAAAAATTACCTTTTATTTTCAAGTTGGAACAAGAAAGTAATCATCACGGGAACCGGCAGTTAGCGTAATGGCTATGTCGCTGGACTCCCACGTAGTCGACCGCGGTTCGTGTCCCGGACCTGGTGGCTTAAAACTCACGCCGGGCGTGTGTGCATGCATGCCCAAAATCCCGAGAGGAGAATGGAGGAGAAGGGATTGCGGCATGACCATCCCCCCTGGGGGGTGATTTCTCACTTTCTGTCTCTCTGTCTCTGTCTGTCTGGCGAGCACACGCGCCCTATAGCAAAAACCTCTCCAAAAAAAAAAAAAAGTAATCATCACTATATTAAAGTCTGCAACTATACGTGAAATTCAAAAAGTTTGTGGAAAAATGGAATAAACGTACAAGTTGACTTTGGTTCAAAAAAATGTGAAGTCCATTCCATGCCTAGTTTTTTCAGAATACACATTTTCCCATAAACTTTCTGAAGACCCTCATATGGCCCAGTCGCAGTGGGCAGGTAGCAAGGTGCCAACGTGTGACACTGGAGCTATATGGGAAGGTCCAGGGTCGGGCTCTCAGGTAAACCTGAAAATGCAGGACATGCCACCATATTGGCTGGCTGAAAGGCTGGGGAAAAACTGTGGCCTATCCAGACTGCCAGGGGTCCCTGTCTGTGGTATAGCGATTAAAGTGCTGGACTCTCACGTGGCCAACTGCTGTTCAAGTTCCAGACCGGGCGGCTTAAATATCACGCTAGGAACCTGTGAGTACATGAGTGTCCATCCCTCCTGGAGGGTGATTTCTTATTTTCCCTCTCTCTGTCTCACTCCCCACAACTACACACATCCTATGACCAAAAATCTAAAAATGTAACAAAACAAAACAATCTTTGGGGTTAAATCTATCTGAATATAGACACACACACAAGAAAGAGTTCCCAAACAGACATATTCTATGATGAAAACTCCAACCCCTGATAAGAGTGAAAATAACTTTAAAGAAACATCAACAAGTTGTTCAATATGCTGAGGATGAATATTGCTGAGGATGCCTTGAGATGAAAAGAACACCATGCTCCTACTCTGTCCCACTTGTGAGGATCCCAAGAAGTTAACAGGTATCCATAGCTAACACGTATGGCACTTCTTATGCCTCAAACACAATGCTAAGTCTTTTACATACATGACCCTTTAAAAATAAAATCCATGAGGTGGCTATCACTAACAACAATTTTTAGGTAAGAAACTTAAGGTGAGTTTACGTTACCTCAAATCACAAAGTGAAACAGAGGGTGAGAGCAGGCATTTGCCATGTAAGGAGTTAATATAATCCAAGCCTGGGACCAGCAGGTGATGAGGTAGTTAAGGCTCTAGATTCCCACATGGCTGACCACAGTTGGAGGCCTGGACCTGATGACTTGAAAAATCACACCGTGTATGCATTCTCGCCCAAAATCGCAAGAGGAGAACGGAAGAGAGTGACTGTGATGTGGCCATCCCCTCTGGGGGGGTGATTTCTCACTTTTTTCTCTTTCTCACTCTGACTGTCTCTGGTGAACACATGTGCCCAATGGCAAAAAAAAAATAAAAAAATAAAAAAAAAAATCCAAGCCTACAGTTTGTGCCTGGTAATTTGCCACACTCTAGAGTTATTTATTTTAATAGCTGGTCTCTGTGAAAGCACTGTTACATTCCTTTTGAGCTAAATATGTGACCACATGAAAGGTAAAATAATATTTTTTTAAATTTATTCATTCGTTTATTTTTAGTTTGACCAGAGAGATACAGACCGAGAAAGACGGAAAGTGAGAAAGCAAGCCACCAAGGTCCAGGACTTGAACCATGGTCGGCCATGTGGGAGTGTCTAGCACCTTAATCACCACACCACCTGCTGGTCCCAGTAAAATATTTGAACAATAAAAATTAATAAAAAATAATATAGAATTACACTGTAATATAGAATTACACTACTCTCACAAACTGGTATTAGGTTTGCTTTAACAAATTGGTAAATCAGCCTTAAACTCAAGTAAAAAAATTGAATGCATTAAATGTGTTTTAAATTATGACAATGGGAAATACGTTAAGTAATCCAAAAATGTTTAAGGAACTTTATCATAATTGTGTTATGGAATATTATGCAATAATTAAATTACATGTTTCCAAAGAGTATTTAATGACATGGTAAAAAGATCAGAACATGATGCTTAGAAAGAAGATACTATTCATTTGAGTTGAAGAAATATCCAAACAAACTAGAAGGCTAGGCCCTATACTAAACGCTGGCATTACAACATAAACACAGCCCCTACGGGAAAAAGAAGAAACAGGAAAACAGAAAATAAATAATACTGAGGAGTTCAAAGAAAGCAAGAAGTTGGGAGGGAGTTATTCTACATTAAGTGATAAGGAAAAATTTCTCCGAGGAAATGACATTTAAGCTGATACTGAAATAACCCAAAGGCCCTAGTCATACAGAGAATAAAGTGAAGAGAATTTCAACAGGAAGAATGGTCATGGCAAAAGGCCATGAAACATAAAAGATAACCAAGTAGGTTACAATAAACAAGTTAGGAAATTGTAAGAAATGAGGTCGGAGTAATGGCCATAAAAATATGATCTCAAATTTCTTTTTCAAAATAGTGGTTACTACACAATATATATGCACACAAAATCCTGGAAGAGACCATGATGCTCACACTGATTAATTCTAGATGGCAGGAAAAGAAGTTTGGGGTTCTTTACTCCTAATATTTTCCACATATTCTGAAGGTAAGCTGTATAAATATTGCAAAGAGAAGAAAGATCGCTAGAACTTCCAGTCTGGGGCTTAACAGAAGTGGTGAAAGAAGACATCCATGCTTTGTCCTCAGATGTTAAAGGAAAAACATTCAGCATTTCACTGTTAATTATGATATTGGCTATAGGTTCTTCTTTTTTTGGAGAGATTTTCGCTATAGGGCACGT